GTATTTTGTTATCTATTAATTATTTTATCTTCCATTTGTAGGAATTCTTTTTTTTTTTAAATGCCTTTTCTCATTATTTAGCCACTTTGAAAATACAAAAAATAAAATTACGAGAGGTTAACCTAGTCTAACATCAAAGACCCTTTGGCCTTAAAATGTGGATGCAACACAGGTCCACCCATACCTGGTGCGAATTAATTCCACTTTGAAGGAGGGGCGGATGAGATTCGAACCCGTGACCTTTGTGTCACGCTGGCTCTGATACCATGTTAACGGACCATCTCAACCAAAAGCTTAAGCTGATGGTTGAGGCATAGGAATATGTTTTATACTCTATCACCAAAACAAGTCATAAAAGAAACAAATTACTAAATTAGTGTAATTGATAGGGTATAAAACATATTTTTATGTCTTAACCATCAACTTAAACTTTTAGTTAAGATAGTTCTTACATTAATAATAATTATAAAAGAGGGTGTCTCAACCACTAGTAGAAAAACATAAATCCCCACCGGTTGAAACTGGTGGGGTTTTGAACCTGACTAGATTTCAAGGATGCGAAAAAAGTAAAACTTTCGCACAAGTTCAAAACCGGTGGCTTTTCTTTCTTTTTGCACCTGTTAACTGGTGCAGATGATTTGGCACCGGTTACCGATGCCTTTACACACACTCTCTCTCTCTCTCTCTCCCTATATATATATATATATATATATATATATATATATATATATATATATATATATATACACACACACACACACACACACACACACACAACAACAACAACAACAACAATAACAACAACAACAACAACAACAACAACAACAACAACAACAATAATAATAATAATAATAATAATTTCTAAATTGAAATAATAAAAACAATATATAGATATTAATTTTTCCAAATGCAATATAATAAAGTGTCACATTTACAAACAATATTAATTAATATTGTAGTTAAAAAGTTAACAAAAAATAAATTCAAATAGAAGTGACATTTACAAATGAAAGGTGATGAAAGATGCCAACATGTCCAGAACTTCATTAAGATCTTTACTTGTGAAAGGACCTTCCTTTCATACCTTGCAAAACTTGAAACCAAAATTATGTTAGAATTAATTACTTAGGTTATACATTGCATGTATAAATACCACATAGAAAAATCGAGTAAGGCCCCGTTCTTTAGAGTTGCTCTGCACTGCTCTGCTCTGCTTTGCTCTACTCTGCTGAGCTCTGCTCTGCTCTGCTCTGCTCGGCTCTATTTTCAAATAATAACAATAACAATAATTAATATTCAATAATAATAATAAATATTGTATTGATGATAATAATTTATTATTTTGAATAATTATAATAATTATTAATATTAAAAATAATTTTAATAATTATTAATATTAATAATAATTAATATTTATTAATCATAATAATAATTATTAATAACAATTATCAATAATAATATTTAATAATTCAAACTATTAAGAATTAATATTTAATAATATTATTAATTAATAATTTCTAATAATTATAACAATTATTTCAAAACAAATAAATAATAATAATAATAATAATAATAATAATAATAATAATAATAATAAACAATTAATAACAATTTCTTTTAAAAACATTTGATATTAGAATCACAATGTGTAAAAACATTTTATGTGGGTATTGATTGTTAGTTCATTGAGTTGAATTATTTTTCAAATCTTTCCATACATTTTAAGATTTAAAAAAAGAGAGGTTGTTTTCAAGTAGTACTTTGTATATTATTATTATTTTTAGGGTAAAAAATATATGACTAGGACAAATTTATAAGTAAAATAATTATTACTCATTAAATCATTTTATTTTAAAATTTTTGTGAAATAAATATAAGTAAACCGTTGTCTTTTATCTTTCTACTATTAAGATATGTTAAATATGGTACACATATATTTATGTTTTCACTCACCTAAATTGTATATGCACTTAATAATAATAATAATAATAATAATAATAATAATAATAATAATAATAATAATAATAATAATAATAATAATAATAATAATAATAATAATAATAATAATAATAATAATAATAATAGTAATAATAGTAATAATATTAATAATAGTAATAATAGTAATAATAATAATAATAATAATAATAATAGTAATAATAGTAATAATAGTAATAATAATAATAATAATAATAATAATAATAATAATAGTAATAATAGTAATAATAATAATAATAATAATAATAATAATAATAATAATAATAATGTTGAAATCTGATCTGCTCTACTCGGCTCGATTCTGTTATCCTGAAATCTGCTCTGCTTTGCTGAAATTTAATCTGCTTTGCTCTGTCCAGATTCTCAAAAGAACAGGGCCTAAGGGTGTTAAGGAAAAACCGCTACTTACCCATTTTTGTGATATACAAATTTGTTTATTGCATAGATAAACTTGTAGTCCGTATTTTCTCATTATAAAAAAAAGAAAGAAAATATAAGTACTTGGAATGAACATATGAAAGAATGCAGAAAAAGAGTCTTGAAAAATAATTAAGATTTAATTTTTTTTGTTTATTTATTTATTTCTATTTTATTATTATTAATTTTTGAAAAACTCTAAGTTGAAATATTTTGTTTAGTTGACTACTAAGAAAGCAATATTTCTTTAATTATTGATTTAACTAAAGGATAGGTTATTTAGGTGTCACTATGATTATTATTAGAAAGTTACGTATCACTTTATACTAACAAGCTAAGAAACGCATGAAAATTCGTGCGTGTGAATTTAAGTAATTTATCGAGCTCAATTATCTAATTTTTTTTTCCAGATTAAAGGGGTTTTTTTTTATTGAGATGATTTTTTTAAAAAAAAATATTTTAGATGGTAAGTTTTTATTTTAAAAAGAAAGACAAAAATAAGAAGGGTATTTTGGGAAAGTGAAATTTATTACCCAAAACCCCTTTTCACTTTATATATTTCACCCTGCCACCATATAGAATCTTTGAAATTCAAGGGATACAGTATGCAATTTCTCATAGTTCTATTAGTCGAATCTTATTTGCCTAAAAAAAAGAAAAAGTTGAATCTTAAAAAAAAAAAAAAAAAACTAATTAAACAAATATCTTCTCTATTTTATTAATTGCTTTAATTTGATCCTAGTGGCAACATCTAGAACCAGATTTTAATCCAAACTTTCAACCAAAAATCTATATATATTTTCCTTTTGTATTTTATCTAAAAACACCAGTAGTTTAATTAAGAAAAAAAGAGAGTGTTCCCAAAAAAGAGAACAAAAAAAAAAAGAAAAAAAAGAAAAAAAAAGGAGAATCCAATGAGACATTCCGTAATAAAAAAATATATATATATATAAAATGGAATGCATATTAATTTTGCTTTAATGAAATATAATCCAACTAGTTAAAATTTAAAAGGTATAATTATCTAATTTATACTTCGTACAACTTATTTTGTTACATTTAATAGAATTAACCTTTTTTCATTTTTAAAAAAAAAATCGTCATCATTGACAAATGACCTAAAAATACACCAATTACTAGATTCATTCTAAAACTTTTCTTTTTGGCACACAAATTTAATCCTAATAGTTATAACAATACCCTGTTTGTAAGTATAAAGGATAATGTTTGGATAAATCATTTGTTGGTGAAAGAAGAAAGTAACCCACTGATATTAAGAATAAACCTATAAAATTGATTTTGAATATATATCATTTATATTGGGATGATTAAGACGCTAGGAATGTTAGTTTCATAGGCGAATATAAAACCTAGTCATATAAATGTAATTATATGCTTTCTCTTCTTAATATTTAAGGTATTCTGACTCTCGTTTTTATGATCCGTTCTGATGTGTCTCGTTAAATACATCTCAACCTTTATTTTTCATATATACATTTCATAATTTTTCAAATAACAAAAGAAGGGTAGAATGAAAAAATGTAACTGGGATTGTTTGTAACCTAGAGAGGTAGCAAATTTTACGCATTGTAGAGATGAAAATTTTAAATTTAATTATGTTATGTGGTACGGGTTATCTATATCAATGTGGATCATGGGTGGACCCACGAAGGTTTAAGGGAAGCATATGCATTTTGTAGGGTTTTAGATAGGGCTGGCAAAAGCTAACCCAACTCGACAACCTGACCCCAAATAAATGGGTTTTGATTAAAATTTTCAACCTGTTTATGTAATTAGGTCAACCCGAACCCGACCTGAAAATAAACAGGTGACAGGCTAAAGTCGTATCACCTAATCAAAAGTATTTCCTAAAACCACTAACTAAAATAGATAGGGAAGTAATGTCGAATTCACAGGGAAACGAGTCTTTTTATTCCTAATTAATTAATATAATCTAGATTATTGAGTAACAAATTATTATTATTGAAGGGAAACTAAACTACTTAAGAGTAAAAGTGGGAAAGAATAAAAGTAGGAGGAGAAACAATGAACAACAGACCTAGGACATAGGTTCACCAATAAATAATATTACAGGGTAAAACATAATAATCAATCATCAATGCATCAATTAATCAGATCATAAAGGGCTTTCGCTACGTATGACAATCACATAATTAATCTACCGACATTAAATCATCTCTCGAATCTTGACTTAACCATTTATAAATTAACTTGCATATTGAAACTAAACCTAAACATCAATTCTCATCTCTCGAATCTCAAATCAATATTGTCAAACTCATGCATAAAAGATCAGGCATAATCTAGTCACAGAGCATTAAATCGATCAATAGGAAATTAATCTAGCATTGAAAATTAACAACAATAAATTACCCCTTCATATTATTTATGGATCCCCACAACCCTAGAAAGAAAACTACTTGCACATAATTTAATCTAAACAAAACAAAACAATTAAAGGAGACATGATCAAAGAAAGAGAATAAATTACTGAAATTAAATCAAGAGTTGTAGAGAGATAAATAAGAGAGAAAGTAATACTAAGAGTTTAATTAAAAGGAGAGAGA